TGGATAAGGTGCGTAAATTAAGAAAAAGGCATCTCCTTATCGTGCAACTGAAAGTTGCTGATGGCTGGCGCCATCTATCGGAATAAATATCAACTATTCTCGTTGATTTTTTAATTATTCCAGAATTGGCCAAATACCCATTCTTGATTAATCAAGAAAAGCTAACCACGGACGCGTTTCGGGCTGTTGGCCCTCATCAGCGTGGTGCAAGCTGTACCTCAACGACCAAAAAAAAATTGGTCATTAAGGCATCCTGAAAAATCATGAAACGGGTAGTTAAGGCCAGAATTGCGTGAGGACGCTACACAATGTGAAAAAATAGTACAAATGTAACATTGTACTTGGATAAGGTGCGTAAATTAAGAAAAAGGCATCTCCTTATCGTGCAACTGAAAGTTGCTGATGGCTGGCGCCATCTATCGGAATAAATATCAACTATTCTCGTTGATTTTTTAATTATTCCAGAATTGGCCAAATACCCATTCTTGAATAATCAAGAAAAGCTAACCACGGACGCGTTTCGGGCTGTTGGCCCTCATCAGCGTGGTGCAAGCTGTACCTCAACGACCAAAAAAAAATTGGTCATTAAGGCATCCTGAAGATAGATGGCGCCAGCCATCAGCAACTTTCAGTTGCACGATAAGGAGATGCCTTTTTCCTAATTTACGCACCTTATCCAAGTACAATGTTACATTTGTACTATTTTTTCACATTGTGTAGCGTCCTCACGCAATTCTGGCCTTAACTACCCGTTTCATGATTTTTCAGGATGCCTTAATGACCAATTTTTTTGGTCGTTGAGGTACAGCTTGCACCACGCTGATGAGGGCCAACAGCCCGAAACGCGTCCGTGGTTAGCTTTTCTTGATTAATCAAGAATGGGTATTTGGCCAATTCTGGAATAATTAAAAAATCAACGAGAATAGTTGATATTTATTCCGATAGATGGCGCCAGCCATCAGCAACTTTCAGTTGCACGATAAGGAGATGCCTTTTTCTTAATTTACGCACCTTATCCAAGTACAATGTTACATTTGTACTATTTTTTCACATTGTGTAGCGTCCTCACGCAATTCTGGCCTTAACTACCCGTTTCATGATTTTTCAGGATGCCTTAATGACCAATTTTTTTTTTTGGTCGTTGAGGTACAGCTTGCACCACGCTGATGAGGGCCAACAGCCCGAAACGCGTCCGTGGTTAGCTTTTCTTGATTAATCAAGAATGGGCATTTGGCCAATTCTGGAATAATTAAAAAATCAACGAGAATAGTTGATATTTATTCCGATAGATGGCGCCAGCCATCAGCAACTTTCAGTTGCACGATAAGGAGATGCCTTTTTCTTAATATATATATATGTTATATTAAAATATTTCATTTAAAATTATGTTATATTAAAGTATTATTTTATTTTTTTAATTATAATTTCATAGATATAAATACTCTGTTTAAATCGACCGCCAGAGGTCACGCTTACCATATAAAATCTCATTGTTGTTCTTCCCCGTTGGCCGACCCAAAGGTTTTGTAATTATGTAAATAATCTTTTGTTTTATTTATTCTTACGCCTTAAGCCAGGCAGTACTTGTAGAAAATTATGTTTTTAATATGAATCATTTCTCAGCTCAATAAAGCAATATCTGATCAAAACCATTATTCTTTCAATATTATAGCCACGACTGCACCACCATTACAATAATCCTCAACATGAATCAAATATCAAGCAGAAACTCAAAAATCCTTTTTTAAAATTAATATAATATATATTATATAATCTAAAATACAATTATTTTATTTTTTAAAAACATATTTTATTTTCATTCATTGACTGTTATATATATTTGACCATAGATGCAAAACATATCACTTTTAATTATTATTGTTGTAAATATGTAAAGTTAACCCTACCTTTTTAAATTAAAATCACGAATATAGAATTCATTGTATAAATTCTATATTGCAGTGATAAATAATTTTATGTATATTTTTACTTCAAGTGATTCAAAATAAAATCTACTTGAAAGGTAAATAATTATCGTTACTTTTTCACGACTGCACCTCTTTTCAACAACAAAACACAAAAATAATTCTAATCTTTAATATATATATATGAGTCTGCTAGAGTCCAATTAAAATAAAATAAGTCCGTTTCAATTTAACGTAATGCCCAGTATTTGGTATGGCGAATGGGTGCAATGTCGAACTCAACTTAATTCTATTTCCTTCCTGAAGCTAGCGTGGAATGTTAAGTATACGATACAGTCTTGCTTATTAATATCCCATCAAGTAACTGATTATTTACTAGGGAAGGAATAAGAACGCCTGAGGCTTTTCTCTCTATTTCTTAAACTTTATCCCGAAAACTAACGCGAAGAGAAATTTCTCAAGAGATCTACCTTTTTATAATAATAAATCCACTTTATCAGTATTCTAAAAATATTTGATAACTGTGATGTGACTACGCCTATAAACATTGTCCCTTTTCGAATATAAATTAGAAATTTTGTTTTATAATTTTTCTTTTTAAAATAATTTTTGAAGTTTTTCTTTTTATTTAGTTCAAATGCGGAAAAAATATTAAAATATATTTTGTTCATATATTGATGAATTTGGTGTATTGATTTATATAGCGTCTAATTATAAATATATGAATAATCACAATAAATATTTTTATTTATTTATTCCAACACACAAAACTCGATATCCCGGTTAGGGATAATTGCGTCGATTTACATTTTTTTAACAGAAACAGTTATAAAGATATTATACAAGAAAAAATAATTAAAAATAAAATAGAGAAACAATAATATATATTAGGAACTTGAATCTTTCAGGTTTGAAAGATAATCATAAATATATTTACAAAAATAGTTAAACATACGATAATTCTCTCTGTTATTTACAAATTGATATATATCTACAACATTGTCTGTTGTCTAGCGGTGAAGAAGAGTGGGCATTCCAGCAGTAGGTGTCTGTAGGAGTACTGGAATTCGTTGCCACAATGACAGCTAGAGTCTTCAACCGCTCCAATTTTTGATAAAATCCCTTAAAATTTCCATGGTTAGTTGTAAACTGGATATTATAAAATTTCGAACAGAAAAATATTGGAATTCCAAACAAGAAAAAGCTTTGGAATGTTTCATTTGTTTTTAGAAATAATTAGAATTAATTTGTATATACACTAGATATAAATAAAATCTGTATCCCATCTGCATACTATAGAAAATATTTAGTAAATTTGAAAACTTAATAAGAGTATTAAGACGTGTAAATAATTAATATTCTGAAACCGTAACTAGAATATAAGTACATACAAATAAACTTGATTATCCATGAAAGGTATATATATTTAAATAGTCTCCTAATGTATCACTAATTAAAATTATCTTGTTTTTATTCTTAAGATTATATTAATCTGTAAAATTACATGGCAAAGAAAAAGGGTATCATACAAGCAAACATCTGATTTTATAAAATACATTAAATCTACCAACATTTCAACCTACGTATTGCTTTCAAAAATATCAGCAAACAAATCTGATGCAATAGCCTATCATAATTATTTAGATCAACATTATATAAGGACCAGTCAACAAGTGAATGACTTTGAGACGAAGAGTAAAGCCAGTTCAATTTCTATTTCACTACCTATGTAAATAACACAAATTGATTATTACCTTACCCAATTGGGAGACATTGTTTCGGGAAAGTCCCTAATAAAGGCCTTTGCGTGTGTGTGTGTGCGATTTAAAAAAAGACATAATCATAGACCTCAAAGAAAGTATAAATTGACTAGAAAAATGTAGGTAAGGGGCTGCAATTAAAGTACTGTTGTAAGAATTTGGTCTCAAAGAAAGTTAAAAGGAAGAGAGTATTGAAGAAGCCTAGCTAAGGTCGACTTGGAATAATGAAAGAGAGAGAGGATAGGAAGAATCTAAGGATGATTGTAGCAGACAGGACAACAACTGTACCAATGATTCAACAGCCCTACATGTACATAATGAATCTGGACTATATTACTGGACTATATCTAGAGTAAAGGGAGTCATCAACTACAGTAAAACTTCCTTGAAAGGACATTCTCACTAGAGGAAACCTCTCTATAAAGGACAGTTTTCATCTGAAATTGACCATTTTTAC